GACTGGAGACAGTGGGGCACAAGCGGGAGATAAATGGGAGAGCACCCACAAGGGACTGGAGAAAGTGGGAGACAAGAGAAAATACATGCGGCCAAAGCACCCACAAGCGAGTGGAGACAGTGGGAGACAAATGGGAGACCAGTGAAAAAACATGCGGCCAAAGCACCCACAGTGTGGAACTGGCAGGAACGCAAGCCCGGAGACAAATGTAAAATCATGCGGCCCGGTCATGCACCCCTTTCAAAGGAGTAAGAACCCCTCACAGGTAAATCTGTTTGGGGAATAAAGAAAAAAGGCCGCAGAGTGGGCCTCGGAACTGCGGGAAACACCAGCTACATGTCAGGGTAGATCTCTTTCTGGTGGGGCGGATCTATTTCCAGGATGTCTCTAAGCATCCATCCTTGAAAGAAACAGTTGGACGATGGGCGGGATCACGATCTTGTTTGATGAATGCCAAAAAAACAACTTCTAAACATGTTAAAGCCTTGGGCTATCGCACTTGCAGGGCCCTGAGTGGATGATGATGGTTAGTGAAGGCCTTTCTCAAAAATAGCTATATAAAGTTATATAGTATAAAATAGATGATAAATGATGATAATAGAGTATATATTACCAACTGTTGCAGGCACTGGGGCCGCAACCCTAAATGCTCGAACTCTTCAGCTCTCTTTCCTCACCGGCAGCTTACCAGGCCCAGGAGCCCACCGAAAGGCGGCGCGGCTGAAGGACGACGGGCATGCCACGGCGGATCTGTGAAGTGGTCGAACAAACGCTGTGCTGAATGAAGCCGGTGAAGGGATTTCGCGCCATCCTCCTGGAGCCCACCGAAACTCGGGCGCCGGTCGACACGTCGACACGAAAGCCGGCTTGCCGGTCGACACGTCGGGTGCCAAGTGCCATGAAGCCCAAGCCCCAGCCCCGCACCTTGCCCCAGGACCTCGCAACACCACCCAAAACCCTGGGACGTTGTATTGGCAAGCCCATGGGCGAAACACATTCCAAGTTGAGCACGCTGAACGTTTGCTTGAAAGAAACCCAAGAGGCTTTGAATTGCGATTCGAGTGCGGAGTGCTGACCGTGGACTCCCTCACGACCCTCCAGTTTTGGGACCAACTTGTCACCTTTGGGACCAACTGGTCACCATGAAGCACCTCTTCGAGAATCCAAGATGATCGTGTAGTCTGTAGTCCAAAATCCTCAACAGCATGGTTGTTCAGGACGCGCGAACCCCGCGCCACCGCGTGGCGTGGTGTTTCCCCCGCGCTTTCCCCCTCCGCGGCGCGTGGGTCGGACAGCGAAGCGAACTGCGGCCTGTGGAGTGGCTCTTCGGCTTCTCGGGGCATCCGCTTGGGGCTCCTTGGCTTAGCGGCTGAGCTCCGCTCCAAATGGGCTCTTCACGGCACGGCACGGCTCGGGCGTGGGTGAACCCACTGGACAATCATGTTGGTCCCCACAAAAGATCGAGTCGACCTAGGAGTTCCAGGCACCAAGGATGCTTTTGGGCGGTATGCGACGTGGTCAGGGATGGTTTTTGGGTGGTGATGGTTAAGTACAAGGAGCAGGGGGTTGGTCTATCCCACCATCCGAACTGGCTGGTGCTGGTGGTGCTGCAGCACCAGCCACTGGTGCTGGATACTGATGGATCTCCATCGGAGTGTCTCGACATCACCGATACGAGTACAAGGGTTTGAGTAGAAGTCCTAAGTGTATAGACTTTTGAGCAATAACCCACCCATTTTGATCCCAATTGAATTGCAAAAGCCCTTCGTCTAGGGGGTTCATTCCGTTCACAAAGATCATTTATATTATAGCGAGGTAAGCAGAAAAAGGATTCGGATGGATTTGGAGTGCAAGTGTCTCCAAAGCATGCACTAGTCACCAGCCCGTGGTCCACCTGCCCGGTGTCCGTCATTCACCCGTATGAACCGTGACCACCCACCGGCCGCGGCCGAAAAGCGCGGACCTTGTGCGTCGTGACCACCGGCCTTCTGCACCAAGGAGCAAATCGATGAAAGGATTGCACGCTACGCTGTGGGGAGCGATCGTTTCGTTGAGGTCCGAGGGGAAACGGTCCATGGTTGACCGACGGAGGGCGAATGACAGACGTAGGCTGACTTTGAACATAGATCTGAGGTGATCTGAGAAAATGCGTGTTCGGCAGCAACACGCAAAGGCCACATGCGAACCTGACGTTGTGCTATCTTTGGTCAACCTGGCTTGACTTGGGGCCGGACCTTCCAGAAAAAAAGAATGGGTTCAGCGGAACAAACCTTCCCACCTACGAAGTCGCTGTGAAGCGTGAAGCCACCCACCCAGGGACCCTGGACCCGGATCTGACAGCATCTCTGGAGGGGTCTGGAGTTTCAAGGATGATCTTCCGCCTTATGTTCATCCATCCAAAACAGCCAAGCTCGGCAGAAAGCTTGGCGCAGTTGGAAGATGCAGGTACAGCAAAAAAATAAACACTCCCTGCGACCTGCAATAATCAATTACAGAATGTTTTCAGGGACTGGGATGACCGGGTGTCACGGAGCCGTTCCTTCGACGCCTGATAGAGACTCCTGGCACCCTCATCTCGGGCCACATGCCGCAACACCTCAGGGGGAAGCCGACAGGAGAAAGGCCCCAGCAGAGGTGGGTCAGAACCCTATAGACTATCCTATAGGTACTCCTGTAGGGTCCTATAAGGTCACTTAACCTCTCTTGGAAAGGCCAAGGCGTCGGAACTCCGAGTGGTGCTTTTTCTTCGCGGCTTTTGGCGCTGCGAAGTTCGCGCAGTTCTTAGAGAGGTTGAACAGCCCGATGGCATCCGAGATTATACCACTGTGATCTTTGCGGTCTTATTTTGAACTAAAAAATGTTGGATATACCGATATACCATGATATACCCACATAATCCGATATAAATAGCTATAGATGATGGGACGTGAGTCCATTTCTATGGGCACCAGCAACCCCCAGTTCGGGTGCCTTTTTCACAAAATGCCAAAAAAATCACACCCCGATCACATCCACTCACTCTCACCATGCAACCGTTTCAACCACCCGAGTCACCCCGAGTCACCGGCTCCGGCTGCCTCTCCCGCTCTCTCTCTCCGTCTCTAGGCCATTCCGGCATGAAGCACTCCTGTGCCCGTGTCGCGTGCCTGGAGCTCCCGCTCGCGATGCTGGAGGGATGGTGGGACCGAGGGACGGTCCAGGTGAATTATAGAAGGTGAAGGTGAAGATGGTGTGACGGTCTGGTGAACACCCTGTGGTTCGTCAACTCTAGGGTCTCTAGAGGCTGTCAGCAGACTTCCAAAATCTTCCCAAGGTGGCAACTCCCACGGGCCCCACCTGGCCGACGGACCCACCAACAAACATTGAAGGCCTAGGCATGTCAAGACACGCATGATCCACAGCATCCATCGTTTGGAAGGTCCACACGAATCATCACGCGGATCATGTAGCTGGGGGCTTCCCTCAGTTGGGGATGGGTCGTCCCACCTGCAGCCCCACCAGTCCGCCATGTGGTTTCAAGACCTCCCAGGTATAGGGAAACACCGGCCGGTCTCCTGGTGCCATCGGGGAAACCAAACATCCACCCAATCCGCGCGCCAGGATCACAGGATCAGGCAGAATCGAGGTGGTGGACTGGGTCAATCGAGGTCCGCGGTCCCCGAAACGCCTTTTTTTGAACGACGCGTTTCGAGAAACGCGTTTCAAGCGGGCCTGAACCAGGGATTTGCCTCTCATCAAAGGATATGAGAGGAGAAGGGCCAACAGCTTCGCCAAGACTCCGGCCTGAAACTGCAGACTTTCGGTTTCACCACTTCGACACAACATCTGCACATCAAGAAGGCCTCTGTTGGGAATATTCAGCGTCAAAAAACGACGACTGAGTGTTCAATGCAACAAGGCGGCCAATCGGCCAATCCTTCCCATGCCATATTGGTGGAACAAACAGGAGCGTTTGGGGCCGCTCACCGGACATGGCCAACCCCATGGCCCCTCACATCTCTGAGGCGACCTCAAGGGGACTAAGAAGGTCTTCAGAGTGAAAGCAACCACAAAATGGACGTAGGTTCGGGAAAAAGAAGGGGGCGTGTCAAAACGGACCTGTTAAACAGCACCTGGTTCCTGGTTACGTGGTTTCAATCCACGAAAAAATATGGTCAGTGGGATGATTCATCCCAAGTAAAGGTCGAACATAGAAATGTCTGAAACCAGCACCCAGTCACTGACTGATTGACAGTATAGGATGTATAGGCACCAGTAGTAATCAGGTGGAACAAACAGTAGATCCTTCCAAATTGATTCAAAGTTGCTCAAAATGAGGGCAGCCTAATGAAATGGCTCGAAGGTCTTTGACATCAACAAACATGAAGTAGCAGCTTCTTGCTACTAGTAGTAATTCCCTTGTTACTAGTAGCGATGCACTTGCTACTAGTAGCGATGCCCTTGTTACTAGTAGTTTCTTGCTACTAATATGAAACAAATGTCATATCAAATCATTTCTGCCCGTTGATGAAATCTCACCGAGCCGCGAAAGCTGCTTCCAGCGTGGAGAGGCTTTGCCTCGTGGGCGAGCGCCGCCCCTTCCGGCGCCCTCGATGTTCTGGAACGAAGAGACTCGATGTGCAGGACCCGGGATCCACCAGGCCCTGCAGGTGGTGGGTGAAACACCGAACTGATGCGGTGCACCGAACTGGGAGGATTGACGGGGACAGTTCCGACCTCTTTCCAGAACCCCCCTTTTGGCCCCGGCGGCACCCTGCAGCACCCGGTGCGAAAGGGAGGTCGGGTTGGGATTTCCACGCGAGACCGTGCGAACGGAGCCGGCGGAGCCGGTGTTCAACAGTGGATCCGACGCCATCGATGGGTCGAGTCGGAACTCGGGTCACGACTGGGTCAGAGCTCCGCAGTGTAGAGGGAACGCGAGCTAGGGTGAGCTAGGGGTGTGGTTGTTGGGGTAGAAAGAACTGGCCCGCGAAGTGATTGAGTTCGTTCTTCTTGTCAAAGAAAATTACATATTCCAGCAGTCACCAAGGGGTGGTGTTTAGTGGTTTGAGATCTGTACTATGGTCCTGGAGGGGCTAGGGAGAGGTTTCAACCATCACATCCAAGCCAGACCAGACGGTCGCGGGGCGGAGCATTTTGGACGAACGACTATGTGCGTTCTGTGACCAAAAGGATTTTGGTGGGCACCATCTTATATAATCCATTCTTAATCCTATACAGTCTCTGTTTGCTGCGTCACCCCAAAAATGTGTGTGATTCAGGGAGACCATGTCTAAATCCTGAAGCTTCCTGCAAACACACCGTTGCACCCCTGCACCTCTTCTCCTCACCGGTAGAACCGAGCCGAGCCACCGTGCCTCCGCGAGAGTGAAAGCAACAGGTTCTTGATCTGCGCCAAGGCCTGGAGGGAGGCGCCGCATGGCCGCATGGCCGGATGGGCTTGGAGGGTGGCGAACTTCGCGATTGGGCATGGGGGGCATGGCCATGCGCGCCTCCATCTTCCAAATTCAGTTCCAAACCCTTCACCCTAGAAGTCCAGTTTCGACCACTGAAGTAAAGGAAGTTCCTCTTGGGATCACCTTGTTTAACCACACAAAAACGATCAAAAACTAGTCGACTGGACTTTCAGGAGTCATTCCAAAACCTTTCTCCCCTCTTCTTGACACACCTCATCACAGCTTCTCCTCGCTCTTCTGCCTCCCAACACCTTCCCTCCGCTCAGCCCGCTTCCCACACCGCGCCGTAAAGGTGAGCCCCGGATTGAGGCACAGCACCAAGTTCACTCGGAGCCTTGTAGGAAGAAGGGACCTAGAATGACCAGTTGACATGAAAATATACCCTGAAAAGAAAGGTTGAACCGGGTTTGTAGCAGTCGACAAATTGTTGTTGGGTGAAAAACAACCAAAGCAATGGTGGTTGAACGCCTAGGCCCTCGGGTGTAGCTACCGGGGACTCCGAAGCCCTCAGAAAGCTGTAGAGTCAGATGATGTCAGTCGAGTAGACCGAATCCTCATCGATCTCTTTGTTGGGGCAGCACCAAGACAAGACGGCGACCCACCCGAGATCCCTCCAAAATCAATGCAGCGAAACAGACCTGGTGGGTTGCAAAAATCATCATGTTCACAGCCTGTTCAACGCTCATACGCTCCGTTCGCCCAGATGCCCAGACACTCCAAACCGGTCGGGCATGGGTGAGCAACACTGAGAAAAGAAGGGATCAAATCCCTGTAGGATTCCACGAGCGAGATCGGGTCAAAACGACACCTCTTGTCCCATAAGCCTGGTTGGGTGGGGATAGCTGGAAGATGCTGGGTGTAGCTGGAAGATGCTGGATGTAGCTGGAAGATGCTGGATGTAGCTGGAAGATGCTGGAAGTATCTCGAAGTCACCAGAGGCTTTTGGCACGACATGAGTCATATCAACCCACCGACGATCAACGACCGCAGCCGTTCACGGCTGAATCCGGTCGCGCTTCGAATCCGGTCGCCGCCTGAATTCAGCGTTCCATTCACGCGTTGCACGGGACGGGGGGTTTATGCACTTCTTGATACATCCTGAGTCCATCTGGAAAAGGATCAGGTCGACCAGGAATTTTCGAGGTCTTCGGGCAAAAGGCCGAACTGGACGACCGTCACTTGGGGGGGGTTCACCAACAGTTCTGTACTCCCTCCACCCCTCCCCTGGGTTTTAAACATGTTGGAACTCGTGCAATTTCACTGCATGTTCCAAGAGAGGTTAAGTGACCTTATAGGACCCTACTGGGGTACCTATGGGATAGCCTATAGGGTCCTTCAACCTCTGTTGGTTCTGAAGAGGTGTCCAATAGTTCATTATTGCCTTCAGGACTCTGAAGGTGCAAGTTCCGAACGTCAACTGTTTTGCAGCTTTGACCGACTTCTTTGTAAAGCTACCACCCGCTTGGAAAGATTTGCCAGTGCCTGAGAGTTTTGGGGGTAGAGCCTAGTAGTCCTTTCAAATTCCTGACACGTCGTACCTCCCTTTCCTGCCACAGCCACCTTCCTCCCCCCCCCCGCGAAGGTCAGGGGGCCCCGACCCGCGCCAAAAGGAATATGCACCTCAGTTCACTGGGTACCGCTGACTCTCCGGCTCAAAGGTGTTTTTTATCGGGTTGGCGGTCGACCCTTCAAGCTGTTTCCCTTCGTCTGACACACCGCCCATTAGAATCCAAGTGTAAACACGTTTATCTCGTGTGAAGATGTGTGAAGTGTAGTTTTTTAAGTAAAACAATCGCTTTGATTCGGTAAAGGCATGTAAAGGCTATATATGCATGCTATACATGCGGCCACTGGGCCTCTCTGGTGCTTCGAATCCGGCTGAAAACACCGCTCACCTCTTCACCTTCCTTCGATCCCCCGGTTTTTGGGCGTCCGGGCCTCCCTCCTTCCAAAGCACCTGCATGGCACCCCTGGAACTCAGCGGCGGAAACGAGGTCGTCACCCCTCGGCCGCGGCAGGGGCCCGGGTTCCGTGGCGGGGGCGGTGGCATCGGCCACTCCCGTGTGGTCCGGGGATGGCAGAAGCCCGGGGATGGCAGAGGCTCGGGAACAAACTCGGACAAACGCCCTCACAGGATGGGTGACGTGGATGGCATCGTCCGGAGTTCGGAGGACTGCTTTCCGACCTTTAGGAGCAGGGGGGGACTCCACGTAAAGATGTGTTTGCCGGAGTGTTTGGAAGGACAGAATAGGACAGATTTATGTGTTAGTTTCTTGTTACTAGTAGCGATGGATGGCCTCCAACCTACTTGCGATGGCCTCCACCTAGTAGTTTTTTGTTGCTCGTAGTGAAAGAGAGGATTGCATGTTGAAAATCACTGAAGGTCAGAGTCTATTCTGAGATCAGACCCTGTTGCAATCCAGAGTCTTTGGGTGAAAGATAGGATCGCAGTATTCGGCAATGAATTGAAGTTGGGTTGAAAAAAACACCGGAAGACACCCTGGCTGGGCGGACTGGTCTATTTCCCGAACCTTCCAGGGTCGTTGGCTGGGAGCATACACGCCCACATGGGGTTTCAGGGGGCTGACGCACGTCAGCTTGCGGCTTGCGGCTCTTTTCCACCTCTCTGGTGAAGGAATCATGATAAAGTCACCCGCTTGACAATCTCTCTGGCTGCCTCTGGCACGATTGAAGTTCGGGTTTTTTTTTTGGCACAACCGGCATGTGTGGGTCCTGAGTCATGAGAGAAGAGTTTTGAGATGTCTGAGCACTTCCAGAGATTGCAGCGAGGAAGATGTTGTTAGTGACACCCATTCAACTCATTCTCTCCAATGCCAGACTGCAAGTCTTGCCTGCTGTGTTGCTAGCCAAAGAATCCTCTTTGATCTCTGCACTCTTATTGGCTTCTGATTCTCCGTGGTAACTTTATATGTATAATAGTTCCATTCCCTGAAACGCTTTGAGTGTTTCTGCGTCATGAAGTTTTCCCCAGACAGTGTGGTAGCACTAGGGGAGTCACTAGGGGCTCTTACGGTAGGTATTAAATCCGGTGTTTAATCGAGGTGTTGCATCGGGGCGTCCGGCTAATTCGTTGCTATTTACAGTACATTCATGCCTCTCAAAATCCTCGAAGTGCATTTCGACTGCGCAGGCTCGCAAAATCTGGTGGGCTGGCGCGGGCGCTCTTCGAGACTGCGCTCTCGTTGTGGCGCCGTGTGCATTTTCGGACATGGTGGTCACTTTTCATGGCAGGCGCAAGGGACACCTCGTGTTTGGGTGGTCCAAAGTCGGCTTTTCATGACACAAGTGCAAGAGTGCAAGGGATCGGAGCGGTGTTACATCGATGGTGCAATGAATCGTGGTGCAGTAACTTGTGGACCTTCAAGTGCACATTTCGTGGCAGGCGCTGTGCTTTGTGGACCTTGAAGTGCAGATTTCGTGGCAAGTGCAGTACTTTGTGGGCCTTGAAGCGCAGATTTCGTGGCAAGTGCAGTGCTTTGTGGGCCTGGAAGCGCAGATTTCGTGGCAAGCGCAGTACTTTGTGGACCTTGAAGTGCAGATTTCGTGGCAGGCGCCATACTTTGTGGACCTTGAAGTGCAGATTTCATGGCAGGCACAATATTGGATCTTTCCCAGCTTGAACCCCCATCCACCACAATCCACCACCATTTCTACCGTCACCACCAATCACCATCACCACCATCACCACCACCACCATTGCCACGATCTCCACCTTCATCTCTCTACCCCCGCATGCGTCTTCCTGTCGTCTCCACACTCTGCGGGATGGACTTCAATCGGCTGGTCATACGTAGCTAGTTCCCAATCGCACCGGATGGGACCTTTCAGCACCTCGTTGCCTGGCAGCCTCGCAGCGCGGGCTGCCAGAGGGAACTCCCGGAGATCGACACAGCGGTCCCGCCAGCCTAAGTGCTCGCAAGACAGAAGACAAAAGCGAGCCCAAGGGAGCGGCGGGCCGTCAAAGCCGAAGAGGCGGCGGGCCAGCCGGTGGAAGCGCTGCCACGCTGGCCAGGAGAGTGGATGCGGTAGACAGCGCAAGAGCTCCTGTGAAGTGGGAGACGGCGGACCGAAAAGTATAGATAGCTCAGTCCAATTCGTTGCTCACAGTATATGAAAAAATGCTAGATCGGAGGGCCGTGGAAGGACAGGGGGTGCTGGCACAAGCTAAAAAAGATTACTAAATAATAGTGTTAAATAAGTGGTCTGTGTAACGAACGGCCGCGCGACGGGCGGGGTGTGGCCTCGGTGGTGGGCAGCGGCATGGCAGCGTTGGACGACGGCGCGGCGGAATCACAAATAGCTGCGAAAAACGAAAGCATCAAAACGAAAACGGGCGAATTTGCGACGGTACATGGGTGTGGCACAACAAAGCAGCGTGAACATGAGTGCGTACACCCCTTTCTGCCGTGCGCGAAGCGCTATCAGCGACGACCACGGTAGAGAGTCCCCGGCCTTGGCCGATCAGCCGCAGGCCGCTGCATCCTCTCCAGCGTAGGCGGTCCCATTGGTCCTGAAGTCCTTTCCGAAGCCGCCGACCTTGAGACGCCCAGCAATGTAGTCCCGGCTACTTTGGACGTACGCCCCATAGCCGTTCCCATCGCTTTAGACGATGCCATAGCCGCTTTAAAGTTGTAGCCCACCAGTGTCCCGCCGAAGAGCTCACATCAGCAACGAGCGGCTCGATGGTCACCAACCAGTCCCCGAAGGTCAGCGAGTTGGCATCCAATGGCAAGACCGGCAACTCGACGTTGCGTAGGCTTTCATTCATGCATTCTTCGAGCCCCGATTCCGGCACTGCAGAGACCACACCACTGCTTCCACCACCATTCGGTGGCATGCGGTCATGCGGAGTCGAAATAGTTCCACCTGATCCATAGGTCCCATGCTGCCGGCCTGGATAGCCTGTTGTTCCTGAAGTTTGGCAGCAGTCCATGCGGCGGACTCCCATTTGCCCCAGGAACGGGTTCTCCATGAGAAACACCTCCTTGTACTTGAACTTGTCATAACTTGTCCTGCAGGTAGAATGAGCACCCAGTTCTCCTCGTTCTGGTAGAACAGGCATTTCCCAAGGCACTCCCTGGGAATGGGGCTGAAAGGAAGCTCAAGCCACCAAAGGCTTCACAAGCCTAATGTAGTAGAGCCACCGCTCCAGATCCAAAGCCACCCGCATCTGCTTGTACTCCATGGGGGAAGAGGAAGTAGTCCCGAGCCATTAGGCAACGGCGGTACGTCTCTTCAGGTTGCTGTCCTCTTCAATGCCGGCGTCAACCGTGCGCTTGGCTCCAGCGATTGAGCACGCCTTGGAGGAGCCGATCTCGCTCTTTCCGCTTCCAGCAGCTCGTCAAGCCGCTCATCCGCCGTCTGCCGCCTCGCCTTGGATGATGCCCGTTACCTGTCCATGGCGGCCATCAACTGGCAACAATGCCAGGTGGTCTTACCCTAGCCCATGTGAGCAGCACTTGCTCGGTCCCTTTTCTTGAGCCAAACGCAGCCAAGTTAATGGCAGTTTTGTTGAGGGGTCTTCTTGGTTCACTTCTCGATTTGTGCGACCAGTGTTCGCTGACTCACAGATTGAAAGGCCCGAAGGTATCCGAAGGTCAAAGTCTGCAGGCTGCTTGGCAAGGTGACACCTTCCAAGCTCCGGGAATTCCTTTTTGGAGCCGAAGATCAGCGATGGATTCTTCAGAGACCCGTAGGCACACGCTCGAGCCAGCTGTTGGACGACCCGTGGGACGACCCGTAGGCACATGGATTGAACGGTATCAACTCCCATCCGCCGGAATCATCCATGGTTTCGTCTAGTTCACGGGTTTGGTCTTCGGATTTCGTGGTCAAATGGGGCGAAGTGCCATCCACTTTCATGATAATTCCACAGAGAGTACGTCTTCAGATCCACTGAGTCACCCTTCAACTACTCTCAGCGCAACTACTGGCCTTTGGGCCAGTGACTGGCCACCCTTCAGATCAGTGTGGTCCACCCTGAGGACAGGCTGTCCTGCGGATCGCAGAAGACTTCAGTGCGACAACTCTGAGGACCCCCCCCAACACGGAGAGAGTTCTGAATCATCAGACTACCCTGGGAGTCGGTCAGACTATAAAGAGAATGGTCTCACTAAGGGAACTGAGTCTGGGACACTTCCTTGACTCCAGCGGATCTCAAAAGATCGTCGAACTGGACTTCTAGGGTATATCTCGGGCTGTAACCTGAAACAACATGCCATGTGAATCCATGTCGCTCATTCTTTCCGGAGTTGCTTCTCTTAGCATGTTTCACTTCAACCCTTCCCGGCGTGTTCGGGCCCTGCGACCCTGGAGCATGTTCTGGCCGCGCGAACGGTTCGGGCCCCGGTGACCGTCGACGAGTCGAACGATGGCGACCATCACTCAAACCCTGGAAGGTCAGGCCATTGTTGAAATGCTGTGACCTGACTTGTGTTCCTCTCCTGAAACCCTTCGGTCCCAAACATGTGCTTTTTTATATTGATAGACTTCGGTCCCAAAGAACTGATGTCGGACGATCCAAGTTCGGGAATTTAACCTTCAGTGGGGCCAAATATCGGAAGCAAAAAGTAAACACACCATCCCAGCCAGCATGCCGATATTGGACGTTTTCTGAAGTCAAAGGCTGTCCCAAGTTTACACTCTCACCTTTGAGATCCTTTGAGTAGAAGCCAAAAATAATACAAAGCGAAATACTGGCTACTCACAGTCGAGGGCAGAGTCTGCTCCCCAGGCTCTTCAGTTGCTAAGACGTTCACCCCTCCATCCACCCTCGGTCCTCATCGGGCGCTTTTTTCCAGCGCAGCGGTTTTCAACGATCGGAGCAGCTCCTGCTCTTCCTGCAGGCTCTTGTGGAAGCCGGCCTCACGGACGGCCAGGATCCGAGGTTCCCGCTTTTTTCGTCCGTCTGAGCTGCTCTTTTTCGGTCCAACAAATCCTGGTCTGAGCGAAGAACATGACCTGTTAGATCCCAGAATTTTAGA